CACGTCGGGGGTTGGACCTCCGGGTATTCGAAACATTCGACGGCCCTCTGCTCTCTACGCCCCGCGCAACTGCGCCAATATCCCGCCTGTCGTTTTCAAAGTACCCAAGGAGTCAAGGACGCGTGTACGTGTGCGCGAAGGACGCGGGCGAGAAGTCCCATGCTCTCTTCCCTGGAAGCCCACGCCAAGAATGTAAATGCCACTTTCATAAAAATGTTCCGTGTTTCTTCCCTGCCCCCCCCCCCACCCGCGGTTTTTTTGTCCCTCTCTCAACAATTTTTTTGTTCCCCTCTTCAAACCAATTCTCCTTTCTTCATTTCGTGTACAAAGCGCATGTGCCCCCCCTCGGGGCATGTGAACATAAAATTCCTCATAGCAAGCCGGCCATTTGTCCAAATGGAGATCGGCAACATGACGTTTTCATGGGAGTTTAAAGGGGAACTGGTTAAATTGTAACATTACAATTTAAAAGTTTTTGCTATGACTTTTTTTCCTGGATTAAATGGTAGTGAGGAGATGCGAATGGACACATACAGCATCATCTTCATTCGCTGTGCGGGGGCAATTACGGGACATTGTAACAGTCAGATAAACATGGGTAGTTGAAATTGTCCGGGATTGAATTGAGGAAAACATTTCATGGTGGAGGAATTAAGGAGAGTTTAAGACACTCATTACAGTCTATAAAAGAGGGTATTCATTCAACGGGCTGAGGGCAATGGGGTAGTTAACATTAAACACTTTATTTCTGAATAAAGTATTCCGGGAGATCGAGTGGGAATCAGTTTTTTTTTTACTGAAGTGTCGAGATTTTGAAATTAATTATTGATTTATGTTTGAAAATCGACGATTTTTCGACGATTAATCGTTAATTAATGGGGGATATTGAGAGTGTTTGAGAACGGATAATGAGTTTTTTGAAGCTCAACATTGATTTTAGAAAATCGAAAAAAATGAAACCCCGAGTTGAAAACCCGAGTTTGTAGCAGCGATGTCAGACAAGATATGAATTTTTTTTTGGGCTCAAATGAAAGAGTGGGTCGAGAAACGACGTGCTAGAGCCTCTAAACATGCCAAATGTCTCTAAAGATGATGTCTGTTTTCAATTGAACAGCAGAGTTGTGACATCATTGTCTAGGAGGACAATGGGGTCTAGGAGTATGTATAGAACATTGGGGTCTAGGAGTCTCCCCTGGTTCAAAACCATCTTTAGAGGTGCTAGCACGCCATTTCTCGACCCGCTCTTTCGTTTGAGCCCAAAAAAACATTCATATCTTGTCTGACATCTTTGCTACAAACTCGGGTCTTCAACTCGGGTTTTCAATTGAAGGCCCGAGTTGTAGACCCGAGTTTGTAGCAGCGATGTCAGACAAGATATGAATGTTTTTTTGGGCTCAAATGAAAGAGCGGGTCGAGAAATGACGTGCTAGAGCCTCTAAACATGACAAATGTCTCTAAAGATGATATCTGTTTTCAATTGAAAAGCAGAGTTGTGACATCATTGTCTAGGAGGACAATGGGGTCTAGGAGTATGTATAGAACATTGGGGTCTAGGAGTCTCCCCTGGTTCAAAACCATCTTTAGAGGTCCTAGCACGCCATTTCTCGACCCGCTCTTTCGTTTGAGCCCAAAAAAACATTCATATCTTGTCTGACATCTTTGCTACAAACTCGGGTCTTCAACTCGGGTTTTCAATTGAAGGCCCGAGTTGTAGACCCGAGTTTGTAGCAGCGATGTCAGACAAGATATGAATGTTTTTTTGGGCTCAAATGAAAGAGCGGGTCGAGAAATGACGTGCTAGAGCCTCTAAACATGACAAATGTCTCTAAAGATGATATCTGTTTTCAATTGAAAAGCAGAGTTGTGACATCATTGTCTAGGAGGACAATGGGGTCTAGGAGTATGTATAGAACATTGGGGTCTAGGAGTCTCCCCTGGTTCAAAACCATCTTTAGAGGTCCTAGCACGCCATTTCTCGACCCGCTCTTTCGTTTGAGCCCAAAAAAACATTCATATCTTGTCTGACATCTTTGCTACAAACTCGGGTCTTCAACTCGGGTTTTCAATTGAAGGCCCGAGTTGTAGACCCGAGTTTGTAGCAGCGATGTCAGACAAGATATGAATGTTTTTTTGGGCTCAAATGAAAGAGCGGGTCGAGAAATGACGTGCTAGAGCCTCTAAACATGACAAATGTCTCTAAAGATGATATCTGTTTTCAATTGAAAAGCAGAGTTGTGACATCATTGTCTAGGAGGACAATGGGGTCTAGGAGTATGTATAGAACATTGGGGTCTAGGAGTCTCCCCTGGTTCAAAACCATCTTTAGAGGTCCTAGCACGCCATTTCTCGACCCGCTCTTTCGTTTGAGCCCAAAAAAACATTCATATCTTGTCTGACATCTTTGCTACAAACTCGGGTCTTCAACTCGGGTTTTCAATTGAAAGCCCGAGTTGTAGACCCGAGTTTGTAGCAGCGATGTCAGACAAGATATGAATGTTTTTTTGGGCTCAAATGAAAGAGCGGGTCGAGAAATGACGTGCTAGAGCCTCTAAACATGACAAATGTCTCTAAAGATGATATCTGTTTTCAATTGAAAAGCAGAGTTGTGACATCATTGTCTACGAGGACAATGGGGTCTAGGAGTATGTACAGAACATTGGGATCTAGGCGTCTCCCCTGGTTCAAAACCATCTTTAGAGGTGCTAGCACGCCATTTCTCGACCCGCTCTTTCGTTTGAGCTCAAAAAAACATTCATATCTTGTCTGACATCTTTGCTACAAACTCGGGTCTTCAACTCGGGTTTTCTACTGAAGGCCCGAGTTGTAGACCCGAGTTTGTAGCAGCGATGTCAGACAAGATATGAATGTTTATTTGGGCTCAAATGAAAGAGCGGGTCGAGAAATAATTAGCGAGCGGGAGGGGGCACGCTCCCCTTGGCTGGCGAGCGAGGCGAGCGGGAGGGGGCACGCTCCCCTGTGCTGGCGAGCGAAGCGAGCAGAGCGTCCGCCCCTAATAAATATATAACGATTCATTTAATACAACCGATCATTATAAACTAAATCAGTATTAAGAATATCGATTTAATTCACATATCGCACAAAACTCCATTTTTTCCACTGACTATAATTCTTTTCTCATTAAAAAAAACATTGAATAATAATGTGAATGTAGCAATCAGCAACGAATCACATGTAATTCTCAAGAAATATGTCTGATGTTACGTATCCAACAGAGAGCTTTTAGTGTCACGAAAAAAAAATGACAAAAGATTCGAAATTACCAATTAAATCTGATAATTTTCGCCACTCATCCGGAGGGAGTTAATTGCCTCCATACAGCTCCTGTCAAAATAACCGACGGTTGGAAAAAAATTAAGTGCCCTGACATTGACGAGTAAAAGAAACACTCCCACTTCCTGACAATTCCACCGGGGGAAAAAAAAAACTTGTAAACTCCGTTGTTTTCTCAACCACCGAAATATTGGCCGATTGAATCCGCCATTAATTATCTCGCCCTGTGGGTTCGATCGGTATCGATCGACTAATTCTGCCGCATCGCGTAATACCCATTTCTACTGTATCCTTGACACCTGGAGCATGAGAAATTATTAGCTAATTATCACAAAAAATTTCATACGGTGTCCCGTGAGTCGTGATTGACATTTGGGAATCTAATTCTCATGTTCGGGAGAATTTCAATCGATTTCACGTCCCTTTTATTCTGATAAATATCTTTCAATTTGATGAATAGAGAGGACTTTCTATGAGGATTTTTTTTTATGGAGAGGCGTGAAGACAATCGTTATGGAGATATTTATGATATTTATGAATCGACCCCAGAATTATTATATTATTATAATACATTCAGTGATAATTTGGTTTTTCTTTAATGGGGGCTTCGTCCCTCCCAACCCCCCCACCGAGGGGCTTCACCCCCCACCTAGGGACTTCGCCCCCCCCCTGGGCCCCCCTTTTGCGTTCCTCCCTAAACGTTGTCACAGTTCTGACTTTAGTCTCAATATAAAATAGTACATTATATTTGGACGATAAGTGACAGGTTATGACTCGTGTAATTGCGCTTTTCTTCAATCAAAAATTATCAATAAATTGTAGAAGAGCGTTCTTTTCCCTACAAATAAAATTGACTATGGACTTTGAATATGATTATGGTGTTTGAAAAATTATGATTTTTCGTTAAGTGACGATTTGGTTTTTCTTTAGTGGGGGCTTTGCCCCCCCACCGAGGGGCTTCGCCCTACTAGACCCCCCTCTTGCGCCCACACCCCACCCCTCCCTAAACGTTGTCACACTTTTGACTTTAGCCTCGATATAAAATAGTATGTAATATTCGGGCAAGTAGCAGGTTATGACTCGTGTAATTGCGCTTTTCTTCAATAAAAAATTATCAATAAATTGTAGGAGAGCGTTCTTTTCCCTTCAAATAAAATTGAATATGGAGTTTGGATATGATTATGGGGTTTGAAAAATTATGATTTTTCGTTCAGTGATGATTTGGTTTTTCTTTAGTAGNCCCCCCCTCCACGAGCCTTCGGCTCGTGCTACAAACGCCACACTCGTCATAACCTGCCACTTATCGCCCTTATATCACAATCTACTATTATAGAATGCTAAAAAAAAGTTGCAATCGTCTTTTGGTCGGTGTCTATTGGTCCAGTTACCCTAGCCCGTCTCAAACCCATAACTATCGAGAGCTCTCACTGCAAGCAGATACGGTCCGGAGAATGGTGGGGCCCAGTCACTGGACAGAGACAGACCGGATCCAGTGCCTCTCCTGTTCTGCTCCGTTCTGTCCTGTGCAACATCCACGAGTAAAGTGTACAGTCCTGAAAAACCGAATGGGAAAGGGGGAAATAACGCTCCGGTGTGGCAGTAAAGGGGAGGGAGGGAGAAGGCGCTACAACCAAGTGGCCGATGTGGAAGGAGTAGTAACTGCTCTGCGTCCCGGCCTACGCAGAGCCTCAACCTGGGGTCCCCCCTGGATTTTATTAGTTGTTCGGCGGGCGGCTGTGCTGCGCCGCGTTTGCTCCTGAAGAGTTGTCGAGAATTTCTCTCGATTCGAGTGCAGTTGAGACTTTAACGTGAATTTGCGGGCTCTCGAGGGGTCGATTTTCAACGACCGATTCACCTTCTGGGAATCGATGATTTAAATTTGAAAAAAAAAATTTGTGCTTTCTGTGGAGTTTTCAAGTGTTTGTGGGACTGTGTTCTTGGATTTTCAATTTTTGTGATAATTTTTTGTGGATTTTTTTGCCATTTTTTAAGGTAAAATTCGCACGTCTTTTTTTACTCGTTTTTTTAATTTTGGGAATGGTTTTTTCATCTTCATTTTGGGATTTAGCGAGGTTTAGCGGGTTTGGGGGAATTGATGGAGTTACGCAGGTGAAGGGAATTAAATAGTCAATCGTGTCAGTAATATTTTCCTTTAATTTCTTTGTTTCCATCCCCTATATCGCAAAACCGGCAACAAACCACAATCTACTCTTGGTCTACTCGCGCTGAGGCGTCCCTTTTATTTATTCTGCCCTCCGGCCACCAAGATCCGTGATGAAGATCGTCGGCTCGGCTTGACGTCCGCACGTGAATCTTCGCGCGTGTGCAACTAAAGAACGCTTTTCTCATCGTGTTACGTTCGGGGGGAGAGGAATAAAAAAATGCGAAATGCGTCAACAGATTTAAGGAGATTCTTCTGGGTTTTTGCGCATTCTTCGAAAATCGCTTTCGAGTTTTTTTCCTGGGTTTTGGAATTGCTGAATATTCTGACGATAAAATTGAAATTCTATGGACAGTAATTTTCAAGTGATAAATAGGAATCGGCGTCAATCATCATACTATTCTTGTTAAGGGAAGTTGAACCTTTAAATAATTGAGGTTCACTTGTCTTCATTGGAATTAGATAAATAATAAAGTAATTGATAATCTAAATTTTTAGATGACTATTGAACGAAGAATTGCAAATTTATTCAATAAAATTACTGGAATATTTAATTGATGATTAGTTTAATCATTAAAAAATTGTTGGGTAATATTCACCAATTGACTAATTCCTAATTCAACTGAATTTAACATTTGTGATTTCTCCGATGTCGTATAAGCAGACAGATTCTTAAAATTTTTTTGAATTCTAATAACAACTGCATTTTAATTTCCAATGTTGTGAACTTGAATTCAAATTTAATTTAATAAAGTTAATTTCATTATTTGGAAATTTACGTGAATTATTGTGACATTTTTGTCCAAAACATTTCATTTTTGATATAAATGCAGAATTCCAAGCGTGATAAAATTACTGGAATATTTCATTGATGATTAGTTTGCTAATTAAAAAATTGTTGGCTAATATTCACCAATTGACTAATTCCTAATTCAACTGAATTGAAAATTTGTAATTTCTCCGATGTCTTATAAGCAGACAGATTCTTAAAATTTTTTTGAATTCTAATAACAGCTGCATTTGAATTTCCAATATTGTGAACTTGAATTCAAATTTAATTTAATAAAATTAATTTCATTATTTGGAAATTTACGTGAATTATTGTGACATTTTTGTCCAAAACATTTCATTTTTGATATAAATGCAGAATTCCAAGCGTGATAAAATTACTGGAATATTTCATTGATGATTAGTTTGCTAATTAAAAAATTGTTGGCTAATATTCACCAATTGACTAATTCCTAATTCAACTGAATTGAAAATTTGTGATTTCTCCGATGTCTTATAAGCAGACAGATTCTTAAAAAATTTTTGAATTCTAATAACAGCTGCATTTGAATTTCCAATGTTGTGAACTTGAATTCAAATTTAATTTAATAAAATTAATTTCATTATTTGGAAATTTACGTGAATTATTGTGACATTTTTGTCCAAAACATTTCATTTTTGATATAAATGCAGAATTCCAAGCGCAAAAAATTGTCCGTAAATTCATTCTAAACATTTTAATCCGCGGATCAATTCTTGAGCACTCAATTTCTCCTCATCTCCCATTTAATGCAAATTATATTCACCAGTAGATTAAAGTTTGATTGCATCACGTCAACGATTATCAATGATTATTGCCAATTCACGGAAGAACGCTCGAGTGCCTACTAATGGACATTGGAATCGGCTCGTCTCACTAGTTCCCCAGAAATTTATTTTTTACTCCTACGAAGAATAAAAAAATATTGCGAAAAATGTTTCTGGCTAATTGAGAGCGAGACGCAGAAGGGAGTTCGGAGTATTTATAAGAGTTGCAGATAGAGACAGAAATGAGTGAATAAGTAATCGAAAAATGGCGCTGGGGCGCGAGGAGGAGGGAACTTGGCTCGAATTTTTTTCAAGTGTCAGGTTAATACTGCACGTCTGGCATTAACTGTAAAATTCAACCGAAACGAGTATCAATTCTTGAGGGGATGGGCTAGTAGCTGGAGATATTTGCACATCTACTCCTGGATGATGGTTAACGAGGCAAAAAACGAGTTTCATCAATTCTCGCTGGACGGTTTATATTGATGTCAAAATTTGCTTCTTACCGTTCTCAATTTCACGATGTTATGCAGAAGCCTAAAAAATAAATGTCAGGAGTGAAAAAGTAAATGTCAAAAATAAATGTCATTAATGTCAGGAGAATGTGCTACTTGGGGATAATCTAATTTTGATATTGGGTTGTTAATTTTTTTTTATGTTCCAGTATAAGTACATTTGATTTTTCAATGTGAATTTCAATTCAGCTTAGGGTAAAATCGATCATGATGTTTCCATTACTTGAATTTTTCAACTTATTGCGAATTTTGAGCATTTATTGGAAGTTTAGATCGATGATCCTTTGAATTGTCACGATTTTCAATGATTTTTATTGTCATGTAGATCTTGAAAGCAGTTTTATTTTTCAGTTTTTCTATTAATTATGTGGATCAACTCTCGTGAGACTATTTATAATTTGGTCCTTACTGTTTTCATTTTCATGGGTTTATGGAGAAAATGTAGGTGATTAATGGCGGAAGAATATAGGCATTCACATCTTGTCTGACATCTCTGCTATGAACTCTGGTTTTGAACTCAACTTCCAGAGTTCAAAACCAGAGTTGTGACAAGATTGTCCAGTGGGGTCTAGGAGTCTCCCCTAGTTCAAAACCATCTTTAGAATCATTTGCACGCCATTTCGAGATGGTCCAATAAAAAATTCACATCTTGTCTGACATCTCTGTTCCCCCAAAACTGTTGCCCCAACTTCACCCCCAAAAACCTCCCACAGTGAGACCATAGACTCAACCCGTCAATAAAAAAAAGCAAAAATCCTGCCATTTCCATGAAACCGAAAGTACCAGGGCAGGAGGACAAGTATCTCCCCCCCGATCGTCGTAGTAAAGTCCTTGCTCCTCGATCCACACCACACCAAATAGGGAGAAAAGACACAAACTCCACTCACTCTTCACTGAGCTATCTCAATCCCGTGGATTATTTCCACGAGCAACAACAACGTCGAGATAGTCTTCCCCCCCCCGTCCCCTCCCGCCCTCCCCGGCGTCTCCCCAGCGTCACTACTCCTCGCAGAAGGCCGTTAACAAAGGCACAAGACAGAGAAATCCCCAGGACTGAGGGAAAAGTGAAAAAAAAATGGCAAAAATCTCACGAGTAAAAAAATTCTTACACGCGTATGTTCACACGTTATTTTTGTCGCTTTGGATTGAAGCGATAACCATGATAAAAACCAGCGGTATAATCACACTTGTTTTTACTTTGTTTCACACACGACGTATGGGGCGAAGAGATAGGGGGACGATGGAGAGAGAGAGAG